GTGACGAAAAAATAAAATCATATTATAATAAACCAACTCTATAGAGCCATCCGCAAACCAAATAATAAAAATAAAGTCGTTGTGCATCATGCAAATGTTCTATAATTATACTATAAATAAACACAAGTATGCATTTTATGGATTTAGGACAAAAAAAAAACCGACTCACTGGTTAGGGGGGCGTTGATGGTCAAGTTCGTTATACGGGTCAATCACAAGTCCATTAACCCCATGGCGGAGAACTGCAATTCTTGCGAGATTAAGAACCCAATCTATACTTGGAAGGCAATCATTCTCACACCTGTTTTGTAAAGCGCAGTGAAAAAAAAAAAGATTAACCTCACGTGCCAAACTCTATAATATCTTAGAAGAATGTGCATAAAAATGTAAGATTTCTTCTGAGAATGGCACGTGTGTTCAACATATTATAAGCATATATAGGATAAATGTAACCTTATCAAGGCAAATGAATCTTTGAGCCATTTTTTTCCTACTTCCAACTCCTCAACGCTTATCCTCTCAATATGCTGCCCGTATCTGTTTACATTGGCAACACCGCCATTAAACAATCAATAAAATAACCTCGAGAAACTGAAAATCGAGGATCATAAATTTTCATTAACAAATCTCACCAAATGCATACCTAATATCAAAGAAAGGCTTCCTTAAATGTTTCTCTAGAAGTTTCCTTGCATGTTCTCGTACCTGAAAAAAAGAACTGAGCATCATGCAACTTATAACAAAGTTATATGTACAGTGATAATAAAAGCTCTTCGCATCAAACTTCAAAGCTTAAAAAAGATTATATTAACTTGCTAAGACCAAAAAATTAAATGATTATGAACCACAACTATTGGTTTGTTAGCATTAGTACCCAAGATTGCATTCTAGAAAACTTCATCATGTCATTTCAAAGGAATTCAAATTGTGCAGTAATTGTAGCAATAACACAACAATTAGAGTAATAGTGGCGAAAGAAAAAATAACAGAAGCTGACAAAAAAGTTAAATTTTTTTAGGATCGAATATTAAGAACTTTAACAAACAAATGTCAGCATTTAAGTTCTATGCAGCCATGATTCCATTTCAACATCCCCTATATATTAATTCAAAACGTGTTGAGCCTAAGTGGCAGACTCGCACGCTTTGGAATCCTACATGCCACAATATCATGCTTTGTATTTAGGTTCGGATAAAAATTTTGGAAAAAAAATTGGCTTGAAAAGTGCCATAATTAACTTTTTCACCACACATTATTGCCTCCCATCAATCTCTCTTCATTACCAAATTTGTCTTCAATTTAAAGATCACACAAATCTTTATTTCCTTATTTCATTTTACTAAGGATTTATCTCATTCATCATAATTTTCTATTTTTCAAGTTGATAGCTTTTATTTTTGAGTCTGTCTTTGTTTGCGTAATAAATAATGATAAACTAAAATTATATATATTATTGATAATATAATTAATAATCTTAACTAAACACGTCTCTTATCTCAATTCTCATCAATTTTAGCCCTTATCTTAATTATCATTACTTATCTCATTTTTCCAAGTTGATAAATTTTAGCCCATTCATCATATTCTTTTATTTTTCTAAGTTGATAAATTTTAAGTAGAACTAATAATGTTGTATACAAAAAAAGTTTTGAGAATTTGAAATAAAATAACAATGTATAGTAGTTTTTGTTTTATTAAACTTCTATTTATTTATTTTGTATAGACTTACAATAATTAAACTCTTTTATTTTTTTTATTCAAATTATTTTTTCATGCACCCGTGTAGTTTCGTACTAGTTAACTTTTAGCACAAAATTCCTGCACATTAGTTAGAAGGAAAAAAAAAAAAAAAAAAAAAAAAAAA